TATTTATTTATTTATAATTTCAGGCAGTAATCCATGGGGAGCCTCCAGCTATCCTCCTGCCAATCCCCCTCCAATTGGGTTAGAAAATATTGGAAACTATGCGAATCAATTCAACCCAGAGTACATGTCAGGCATGGTAAGCTATTTCAGCTTAAACCTGGTGGATATTTCCAGTGAAGCTAATCAAGTTTTATTGCCTCTGTCTTGTATTTTATTTTATTGTATTGTAATTTGTTAGTGGCCAAAATCCTGTTGCATAATGTAAACAAAGTAGTACGTTTCAATTCATTTCTCGCAGGGGGGTAATTTGTAAATATATTTACTGCAGTGATTCTCGGGAGCGTATGCACATGCCAGCTTGGTACGTGTGCATGTGTGTGTGGCCATGAGAATTGCAGCAGGGGCTTATTATTTCCTCGTGAGAGGAGGATCTAAACATATGAATTTCTTGTGTTGTCCAATAAAGTTTTAGCCAACAATGCATTTGGACCTTGCTTCTCAGGGAATGGTTTCAAAGTTGTTTACAGTAAAGATAAAATTAAATTAAATGTTTTTTCCTTGTTTTCTTGTTTTTGTTTCACCTGTTAACTTGACAGAGATAACAGACTTTCTACAGATGCATACCACCTTTTCAAAATAAAATTAAGTGGAAACTCCTAAAACGTTATATACGTACACACATATATATCTATATACCTTGATGATATCAATAGGTGGTTGAGGTTTTGTTTGTGGGTCACCATATTGCCAGTGGTGGGTGTTGACCCTATCAGCAGCTGTGAGCCAGTGAAGCCAAATTAATAGTATTACCTAATGGTTGGATGCAGGTGTCTTCTTCAATTACAGTCCGGCTTGGCTGATGTTAAGTGTCCATGTTGTCTTCTAGATGGTGTTATGGATGGCTTTTCAAGGTATCTTCCGTAGTTCATAAAAAATAAATAAAACCAAAGCCATATGGTCCTTACATAGTACAAAAGCATGAGCAGATGATACCTTTATGAAATAATAATTATGTGCAGTCAAGTCAATTTTGACTTATGGCAACCCTTTCCAGGGTTTTCTAGGTAGAAGGAATACAGATAAGTGGTTTACAATTCCCTTCTTCTGAGGACATAGAAATCATAGAATCATAGAAAAATGAAGTTGGAAGGGACTTAAAAGGGCACCGAGTCCAACCTCTTGCCCAATCCTGGGGCTGTCCATCTTAGATCACCATGAATGAATGAACGAACGAATGAACAAACAAATAGTGTGTCTTCAAATCAATCCTGATTTATAGCAACTCTTTTCAGGGTTTTCCAAGTAGAGAATATTCAGAAGTGGTTTACCGTTTCCTTCTTCTGGGGGATCCTGGGACTATGCAGCTTGCCCAAGGCCACATAGACTGGCTTCTCCGGGATGCACAGTGGGAAACTGAACTCCCAAGCTTTGGCTCCATAGCCACATACTGAAACCACTGAGCTCTCAAACAAACAAACAGCTTTTGACCTACACCAGTTTTCATCAGGCTGTACACCAGTATATTGTGAGACACTGCTCATAAAGCGTGTTGTTAGAAGCAGAAAGTTTGAGAAGGTTCTCACTTTAAACAGTCCCTGATGCAAATGAAGCCTGAGGTTTGCTTTGTGAAGAACTGCAACCACCAGACGAAGCAAACTCATTTGCAAGAAATGGAAGTGAGAAGGCTTGTTCCATGACAAATTGATGCTTCCAACTGCTGAAGGAATACCCACTTGTAACAACACCCTGCCTATACTCTCTTGCTTGAGCTCCAAATACTGGTTTCCTGATGAATGACTGCATTGTATTGATGAACTCTTGAGCGTGAAAGCCTCTATAGGCAAGATAATGATTTCGTGTCTAGAAGCAGTGCTGCCTTAAATAGTGAAAAATCATCATCATCATCATCCTAGAACTTCATTGCTGGAAGGGACACTCTTGAGCGTGAAAGCCTCTATAGGCAAAATAATGATTTTGTGTCTAGAAGCAGTGCTGCCTCAAATAGTGAAAAATCATCATCATCTTAGAACTTCAGGGCAGGAAGGGATCCTATGGATGACTGAGTCCAGCCCTTTGTCAAAGAGGCACGGTGGGGAATCAGAGTCCAAACCTCTGTCTGGCTCTGCGCCAGTTAAATAAGCCACTGAGCTCTCATTAGCTGGCTGGCTCGGTGTGTTAGGTATCTGGCTGCAGAGTCTGGGGTTGGGAGTTCAATTCCCCACTGTGCATCCTGGAAGAGCCAGCCTATGTGGCCTTGGGCAACCTACACCGTCCCTGGATGCTCCCAGAAGTAGGGAAGGGTAAACCACTTCCGGGAGGCTATGCTGTTTTGATATTGTCTTCAACATTAGATATTACCTGGCCTCTTTAGAAGGCGGTTGCATTTTTTTTCATAATGTGCACAGTGCTCTGAACGTGGTCCAGAAAGGGCAGGCAAAGCAAGACTCGTGGACCCCCTGTGACCCCTAATTCCCTGCTTTGCTCCATTCCCCATTTTATTTTTTTGCTTCAAATGGCCAGTTTCTCTTTCAAGGAGGCCATTTGCCCCTCATCCCAACTTGGAGCACAGGCCTCGCCCTCTAAAATACTGTGTAAGAGTTATGTATTATTGGGTGTAGGTTTGCTTACACTCAGCATTGGCCTGATGGTCTGTTTGTTGTTGCAGGCTTCTAATTTGTCGGGAACGTTTGGCGGGGCCAACGTGCCGCCGAGTATGTACCCTCAGGCCCCAGGTGGTTATCCTTCTGTTCCCCCGGGCGGCTTTGGACCTCCTCCACAAGGACAGCAAGCTTCCTTTGGAGGGTACCCACCATCGGGGATGCCATCTTACCCATCATATCCAGGCGGCCCCATGCCACCACCAGGACAGCAGCCCCAGCCGGTGCCATATCCTGGGCAGCAACCCATGCCAAGTTTCCCTCCTGGGGCCCCTGTCAATCCTTCTGTGCCTTCATATCCAGGACCGGCAACACCTATGATTAATCCTGGAGCAGTAAGTTGAAGAATTTAGTTTTAATTTACTGGCCTTCTTTCTTTTAGTGCGAAGTACAGCTGGAGCACAGTCTCATCAGCAGCACACATGGGCTCTGGAAACCTAGTTGGTGGCAGGACAGCTGGAAAGGGAAGGAGAGGTTTGCCATTTGCAGGTGACAAGTGAATGCAGGAGGGGGCTTAATGACTCTCCTGCTTTCACATAATGGTAAATGCCATTAAATGTTGAACAGAAACATTATAAACTGTTCTGTCGCAACCATCAAATCCGATTCACCTGCCGTTTATGAAACTTAAAGTATCTAAATAATGTGGTTATCAAGAAATAAGGAGTTCAATTGTCAAACAGAAGGGGTTGGGATTTTTGTTGTTGTTTATAGCAACATCTCTTGTAAATGTGGCTATAAAGATGTCTCGGGCATAGCAACTGTTAAGTTTTCATTGATGCATCTCTTTTTCTTGTGACAACCTAGTCTGGACATCGAGGCACAATCCATGATGCCCCCTCGTTTGACCCCCTGAGGGATGCCGAAGTGTTACGGAAAGCCATGAAGGGATTTGGTGAGTAGTGCTTGAATTCCAGGTTAGGTGGGGTTTGTGTGTGTGCGTGTGCATGTACTGTATGTATATATTTTTTTCCTTTTGGTTTCTTAAAATAACGAGACAGCAGCTTTGTCCCATCAAAACTGCCCTTTTTTTCTCAACAGCACCAGGTTAGGTGGGGTTTGTGTGTGTGCGTGTGCATGTACTGTATGTATATATTTTTTTCCTTTTGGTTTCTTAAAATAACGAGACAGCAGCTTTGTCCCATCAAAACTGCCCTTTTTTTTCTCAACAGCATTTCTCTAAAAGGACTGTTGGAAAGTGTTGCAGGTCACAGCTGTGGCTACAGATGTCTTGAAAGCAAACCTGGAAACAACAATGTATGCTTCTTTTGCCCTTGAACAGAAGTTCTTCGAGCAGAATATATGCCAAAATATCTGTAGTTGCTGGTCCTTTTTAAATTCCCTTCTGGCTTCCCAGACAACATTTAATTTTGCCCCCCAAATTGATAAGGCTTTGAAGCAGTGGCCAAAATCCTGTATGCTTAAACAGAGTAAATCACACTAGAGTAGGCTCATTGAGGGTTTACTAAGTTATCAACTCCTGAGTAACCCAAGGTTAAGAACCAGTGCTCTAAAGCAGTGGTCCTCAACGCTGGGCCTCCAGATGTTGTTGAACTACAACTCCCAGAAGCCTTCACCACCACCTCTGCTGGCCAGGATTTCTGGGAGTTGAAGTCCAAGAACATCTGGAGGCCCAAGGTTGGGGACCACTGCTCTAAAGGACTGTTGGAAAATGTTGCAGGTCACAGCTGTGGCTACAGATGTCTTGAAAGCAAACCTGGAAACAACAATGTATGCTTCTTTTGCCCTTGAACAGAAGTTCTTCGAGCAGAATATATGCCAAAATATCTGTAGTTGCTGGTCCTTTTTAAATTCCCTTCTGGCTTCCCAGACAACATTTAATTTTGCCCCCCAAATTGATAAGGCTTTGAAGCAGTGGCCAAAATCCTGTATGCTTAAACAGAGTAAATCACACTAGAGTAGGCTCATTGAGGGTTTACTAAGTTATCTCCTCTATAAGTTCCATTTATTCAAATGGACGTACACTAACTGTGACTTACCTTAGCATAGTAAATCACAGTTAAAGTAAACCCATTGGAATTAATGGAATGTATGGATTTGGTTGGCTAAAATTCCCATTGATTTAATGGTCCGACTCTAGTGACTTACTATTCTTAAGGATATAGAATTTTAGCTATTTAAAAAATTATTAGATTTTTAAAATAAAATGCATATTTATATATTTCAACTAATCAATCAGTACATTTATTATGGTCATATGACCCTTTCAGTACTCAATAACCAATTAAATTAATTAAACAATACAGAAAACCCAAACTTTTTAAAAAAGCAACAAAAAGTGAAGCATCTTACAATAAGTAGGCCCTTATTTGTATTATTGCAAAGAAAATAATAGCAACTTTTGCAGTGATCTCAGGATTCCAGTCTGACAAACAATCATTTTTCAGGATAGGCTTGAATTTTTTTTGCAAGAGGGGACAAATTAAATCATTCCTTATTTCTTTATAGAACTTACCGTATAGGAGGACATGAGACAAAAATTCAGGATTCCCTGCCATGTCTGGACAATATCTTGACAGTTAGAATTACTTCAACTTTTTATAAAACTCTTTTTCTGTCTTTTACAATATTTTGTTGTCTTTCCCACTAGATTTTATTCTGCTTTCAAATGCCATATTTCCTTTGTATCCAGTGTGATTTCTTTATAGAACTTACCGTATAGGAGGACATGAGACAAAAATTCAGGATTCCCTGCCATGTCTGGACAATATCTTGACAGTTAGAATTACTTCAACTTTTTATAAAACTCTTTTTCTGTCTTTTACAATATTTTGTTGTCTTTCCCACTAGATTTTATTCTGCTTTCAAATGCCATATTTCCTTTGTATCCAGTGTGCACAAAGCATATAGTACCCAGGCTTTCTTCCTTCCTTCCTTCCTTCCTTCCTTCCTTCCTTCCTTCCTTCCTTCCTTCCTTCCTTACTTACTTACTTACTTACTTACTTACTTATTTAATGGATCTACCATTGTAAGCAATCAATCAATCAATCAATAATTTATTTAAATAAATAAATGATTTTGTTTGTTTATTTATTTAATGGATCTATCATTGTAAGATGTGCTGCCCAATACTTGTTAAGGTAGCAGGAGAAAAATAGTGAAGGAGGTTACTTTTAATTATATAAGCATGTGGAATAGGCTGGGCAAAGTGCGGCCCGAGGGCCACATACAGCCTGCGAGCAGCTCCTGTCCGGCTCGCCAGACATCAAAACCATTTATAGCTTTTTGTCTAAAGTTGATCAGTTGCTTATCTTTAACATACCGCAAAAAAAACCTCTTTAGGATTTGTGAAGATTAACAAGTTTAAAATAAAAACAATCATAACATCACTGTTTTATTTTACAGTATTTTTAAGTAAAGTTGGTTCGGCCCCCGAACACAGTTCAGATTTTTCATGTGGCCCCCCCTATAGAAATTAATTGCCCACCCCTGCTGTAGATGCTCTCAGATGAGGTCTTGCAGTGAGAATCATGCAGTGAGAATATCTCTTTTATCGACTGTGACAGAGTACCCAAACCAGAATTTTCTACTTTTGGACTGCAGCTCCCAGAATCTTCCAGCTAGCACATGGCTGTACATGCTTCAGGACGTCTAGGAGCTGCAGTCCAAAAAAAGTAATTTTTCCCCAAGCTCTGATCCAGAGAGTTCTGTTTTTCACTTGTAACCCTCCAATATTTTTCCACTCCTCCTCCTCCTCCTTTTCTTTCTCTAGTAAGTAGTTGATAAAGGAAAGTCAAAACATCCACACAGTGCCTTTTGGTTGATTGTGTTAGTACCAGCCCATCTGGGAGCATGTGATTTTAATTGTTTAATGTCCTTGTTTGTATTTTCAGGCACTGATGAGCAGGCAATCATAGACTGCCTTGGAAGTCGTTCAAATAAGCAACGGCAACAGATTATACTCTCGTTCAAGACAGCCTATGGAAAGGTAAGTCTTCCTATCTTGTCTCACCATCCTGTGAAATAATAGTACTTATATATTATTTGTGTAGCATCCTTGGTATGCACAGTGCTTCACAGATTGCAAGAGAATTGATCCCTGCCTTTAGGAGATTACAACCTAAAACACAACACAGGAGACGTCTTAAGGACATATAAGGACATAAGAAGAGCTCTGCTGGATCAGGCCAAGGGCCCATCTAGTCCACCTTCCTGTTTCTCACAGAGATCCCACCAGACGGCTCTAGGAACACAGGAGACAACTAGATACCTGTCTCCTGATACCCCTCCCCTGCATCTGGCATTTGGAGGTACCTTCCTTTTAAGCCTGAATATTATACATCCCCATCATGGCTTGTAACCTGCAATGGACTTTTCCTCCAGAAATCTATCCAATCCCCTTTTAAAGGCATCTAGTTCAGATGCCATCACCACATCCTGTGGCAAGGAGTTCCACAGACTAAAAACACACTGGGTAAAGAAATATTTGCTTTTGTCTGTTCTCACTCTCCCAACACTCAATTTGAGCGGATGTCCCCTGGTTCTAGGATTGTGTGAGAGGGAAAAGAGCTTTCCTCTATCCACTTTATCCATCCCCTGCATAATTTTATACATCTCCATCATGTCCCCCCTCAGGCGCCTTTCTAGACTAAAGAGCCCCAGATGCTGTAGCCTTTCCTCATAAGGGAGATTTCCAGCCCGGTAATCATTTCAGTTACTCTCTTCGGTACCTTTTCCAGTTCCACTCTGTCTCTTTTGAGGTGCGGCGACCAGAACTGTACGCAGTACTCCAGGTCATGGAGGAATAGGAAGGAAGTAAAGGTGAACATAGACAGGGAGGAGTTTGTGGCAGGTTAGAGTTAGCATGAAGCTGACTTAACATGATTGATGGGCAGTAAGAGGTTGAGTCATTGAGAAAAGTGGTTGTTGATGAGAGATTTGAAGGACATAGGAGAGGGCCTGTTACTGTGGTGCTCTGCCAGGCATTTTCAAAGACGCAGGGCAGCAAGAAAGAGAGGTTGGACTCTTCTGAAGGGAGGGGCTTGGAGCTGGGAGAATCTGGCTCAGGGGCAGAAACGTATTGAAACGTAAGAGTGACAAGGTCATGAAGGGATTGGGAGGTATGGACAAAGGTCCAGAAGCAGTCAAGAAGTCAGTGTGGGAGTTTAAAGAGGAGTGTCACTATTAGAGTGACAGAGTGGTGAATTATTTTGGTGCCAAATTTATTAGAGCCATTAGAACACCCCAAGAGGTACAAAATAAGTCTTTGTCTCCTGCTGAAGAATTCTGGGTAATACACACATATTCTCAATAGGGTGTGTGCACAAATACAGCCCTGTGTATAGGATTGCATTTGTTTGGGACTGCAGCCTTGAATTATTGGTATTGCTTGAACAGAAAGATTGATTATGACATGCTGTGAATGTTTAATGTATTCTTACTATGCCATTCTTTAAGTGCACTGTATATCATTGTACAATTACAATAGGTTCTTTGTTTTAATTTAAAAACAGGATTTGATCAAGGATCTGAAATCTGAGCTCTCCGGCAACTTTGAGAGGGCAATCTTGGCCATGATGAAGACACCTATCATGTTTGATGTTCATGAAATAAAAGATGCCATCAAGGTTTGTAGGGTTGCAAATAAAATTGATCGCTGCAAAGGTTCACGCCTCTAAATTCTTACCTGGTCCTCCCTCTCTCTGTCGCTCCCCCTCCAACCTCTTTCCAAGCCACCATTCATACAAGTCCTAAGCTTAACCATTTGAACCTCATCAGACAGTGCTCAGCAGACAGACTTGCTTTTTGTTCTTTGCCCTAGTTCAGCGTTCCTCCAGGTGCGGCCTCCAAATGTGTGAGGCTACAACTCTTAGAACCCCGCTTGTAGGGCTCTTGGCTGGAGCTGGCCTGGGATGCGGTTCAAAACCTGTGTAGGACACTGCATCTTGGGATGCTGACCTAAGTATATATTTTTCCTGCTGCACTTTGCCCTGATGGTATTTTTTAATAAACAACTTTCACTCCCTTCTTTTCATGGTGGGAGTAGGGAATGGTAGATACTTGTAGATTTTTCTAATAGCATTGAATGGGAGCCCTGAACTAGTATTCCCAGTTAAAATGAGCATTTTAATTCACCCTTTTCTGGTCTCTGCTGACCCACCTGAGAACCCTTGTGACCTTTGCCCGGTCTTGTCTGAAGTCTAGTGATGGGATAGAATCCTCCTTCACTGGTGTTAAAACATGCAGGTTAGCTCGAAGGATGCAGGATGGGCCATATGGCTTCCCCAGATACTAAGTATACATAGGTGGCTAGCAGAGCAGAATTGACCAGAGAGTTAGGAAGAAGTTCGCTTTTACATATTGTCGTTTTAATGATATAAGCTGCCTTGAGTCCTTTTTAAGTGGCATCAAAATATTTGAAACAAATAAAATAAATTAGATAAAGTTGGCAAAGCTTCACCCAGCATTTGCTGCAATATTAAGTTGTCTCATTTGGCCCCATGGTACGGCCAGCACTGCTCTCGGGAGATGCGAAGTCTTGAGATCGTGATGTCATGTAGCCACCTCCTCTGTTTCTGTAAAAGAGGCCAGAGAAATCTGTATAGTACTGAGATTAGTTTCTTTTTTCTTTCTTTCTTAGGGTGCTGGCACTGATGAAGCATGCCTGATTGAGATCCTGGCATCTCGTAGCAATGACCACATTCGGGAAATCAGTAGAGCCTACAAAACAGGTTGGTTTTGCGGCGGTTCAGTATTTCTTCCTGTTGTGGTTCTATCAGATCACTGAGTACCTAAAATGGGGCTATGTTAAATAGAAAAAGAAAAACACACACACACACACACACACAAACGGACGGACGGACGGACGGACGGATGGATATCCTTTCTTCAAGGCAGATATGCATGTATGTTTTTGCATGATGTTTATAGATGTAGTTTATCCTTTCTCCTTTGTAATCCATCTACAAAATTAGTTTTTTCTATGTGATTTCTGCAGAATTTAAGAAAACGCTGGAAGAAGCCATTAGAAGTGACACATCTGGACATTTCCAGAGGCTTTTGATTTCACTTGCTCAGGTATGTATAAGATTGTTAAAAGCTGTCATATTATGCTGTTTTTATTATTATTACTCTGTCATCATACTTATCCAAAGGAAAAAAAATAAAACGATTTATATTAATAATTTGGAATTCAAATATTTTTACATTTGTAACTTCTATGGGTAGAGTACTGGAAAGATATTGATGGCTCTACCACTGAGGTAAAAATTGATACATGAGATTTCTTAACACATTTCTAACACATTGGCTGAAATCTTATTACACAGTTATGTAATAGGTGAGTTGCCTTGAGTGAAGAAATCTCAGTAGTCATGCAGCTTAGTATGCAACAGATAATGTCTGGGGAAATTTCTAAATTAAGGCAAATCACTTTTCAAAGTTATGCCCTTTGTGTAACTGTGCAACAAGATTTCAGGCATTATGTGGTAAATATAACCAGGAAGTAGGTGCTTGTGGGGACTGGGAGAGGTAGAGGAAGAGAGAGATTGTTTGTACCTTAACAGGCCTCTTCCTGTAATTTCTCACAACCTTGTAAGTTCCTGGCTTGCATAAAGGGCAAGTAGCCTACAGCTCTGTGCTGCCACAAAGGAGGGATTTCTGCTATAAATTGGAGACCCGTTTAGAACATTGCAGTGGACTGTTGCAGTGGACTGCAGTGGGCAGTGGAAAGAATTCTGCTTGGATGCTGAAACAGAGAAGGTGCTTGGATGCAAATGCTCTCCATTGTTTTGGTAGTCTGGACATAATAAAAAAAATTGCAGTTAGTTTAAGCTAGAAAGTGGATTGCTCCAACCTTTTTCCTTTGGTGGAGAAGGACAGGGGAGATCAAATCATGCCTGAGACTCAAGGAGGCTTCTTCTCTTACTCGTAAATCATGGTTCCAACAGTTTCATTTTTAAATCTAGTTATAAATTTGCAGTTTGTATTTTCTTTGTTCTTTGGAACATACATATAGATGTTCTTTAAGAAGTTAAATAGAATAACAACGTGTTGGTATTCATTCCACTTTTAAGTCTTGGTATCCTGAATCAGATATCATATGGAGAACTTATCATTCCACTTTTAAGTCTTGGTATCCTGACAAATCAGACATCATATGGAGAACTTCAATCTTTTGCTCTCTTTTCTTGAGAATCAGCCTTAGTATCATTTTGTTCTTTGGAACTGCTATTGGCATTGTGTACCATGCTATGAAAGCTGCAATTCGTGCATTGATGGGATTCTTGCTGCTTTTTCTTTTCAGGGAAACAGAGATGAAAGTACCAATGTGAACATGTCACTTGTCCAAAGTGATGCTCAGGTCGGTATGAGAAGTGTCATTGACCTTCTACATTTTCCAATGATTTTTGTAACTCTGCACAGCTAAACTGCTGGTACAGCATATGCCTAAATTACTGAGTTTAAAAGAAAGATATTAAATTCCAATTTCTTAAAAAAAAAAATCTTCGTTTTGACAATGTGTGCTGTTCCCTGCCATGCTTAGTTTTTTCTTTTAATATGTATCTTTAGAGGAAAAGCATGATTAACTCCAAAACTGTTCACATTGAATATATTTACCCATCCACTAAATGCTCCTTTTTAAAAAAAAACGGGGAGAGGAAATTGGTATGCCTTTGAAACTGCACTGAAAACTAGTCTTGGTTGTCGTTTTGTTAGTCAGCAGCAATGGAGGCAGCAGCAATGACGGTGATAGTTTGTATATCTATAACACTGTAAAATTAACCTGCAACTGTTCCATCTTTGGAGCTGTCCTTCAGATAAATTGTGACTATATTAAAACTGTCCTGAATTTTTAAAGTTTTTTTTTAAGTTCCTCTTATGGAGACTTTAATTTGCTTTGAATTGCATGAAAAGAAGACACACAGCCCTTTATCAGAGGCATCTTAGAAGCCCATCAGTTTTTCTTTGAGTCCAAGTGCAAAGAGAGAGACTTGGAGACTTTCCACAGCTTTTTCAGTTACCTTACGAGAAACTGTTTCACAACTGAAAATATTTGTTATAAAACATGTTGGCTTGACGTTAGATATAAGGAACACAGGGCTTACATGTTCAGGGTGAACCTGATGTCATTATTATGCTGGGCATTTATGCTGGGCATTTTGATAGGAGGTTAAGGCCGAGGGATACGCTGCTCAGGACACATAAGGGGAAGTTGTATGGCATGTTCTGAAGGAGAGAACTGCCTAGACCTGGACAGATTAAGTGGTGCAGTAAGCCACAGTCCCAGAATACCAGGATGAAAGAATGAGATGAGTGTCCTTTTGAGCGTCTGCTAAGGAGAGAGTCTGCCTGCATAGTAATGCAGGATCCTGACACTTGCACAAGCAATGCCTACGAAGGAAAGTCTCCCTGTGCTAGAGCAACAGCAGTGCTTATCACAGTGGCGGGACTTTCCAGTCAGTGAAAGCTCATTAGGCCATGGGCCTGAACGATTAAAGAGGAATAAACCTTTGTCTAGAAAGCAGAGCGCGAATTCCGGAAGTAGTTAAGCTGAAGTAATTGGATGATGAGCGCCTGCGGTCTTTGTGTTCTTTCTAGGCCTTGTACGCGGCAGGAGAGAATCGACTTGGAACTGACGAGTCCAAGTTCAATGCCATTCTGTGTGCAAGAAGTAGAGCTCACCTCAGAGCAGGTAACGTGGCCTATAAATGCCTCTGTTGTGGTGAGCAATAAAAAAACAAAACTGTTTTATGTCTCGAGTCCATAAGATTAGGCTCCACCCAGTGCACGAAGCTTTGGGTGCTGTGCCTCTTTCATCACATCAGATACTCAACTGGGTTTCTTTTTCTTCTCAAGTGGCTTGACCTGTAATAGAACGTAATGGAAGTTTGCAGTCAGCTCAGACCAGGTAGAAAGGAAGGCTGGGCACCTTGAGCCTTATTTATACTCCCTGTGGAAATAATGAGATGGGCTGCACCAACTTAAATTACCTTCTTCTGCACGCTGATAAATTAACAAAGCAGTCCTTGTTTTCCTTTGTACCTTGTCACCCTTTTATGGCTTTTCCTCGTTCTTTATGCCCTCATTTAGATTGGGCAGGTGTGTTTCCAATTCCCATTGCTCTTCTAGAGTGCACAATTTGCCAATCCATGTTTTTGCTTCATCTTTTAAAGTAGTTGGGGTGGTGGTGGGGATGGTGTCAGTGGACTGACTACGACTGAGGTTCCAACCCTGGGACTTGGGTTCAGAGTGTCTAAGACGGAAGAGTAACTTCTCCCCCTGTCTAGTTTTCAGTGAATACCAGCGAATGTGTAACCGTGACATTGAGAAGAGCATAAGCAGAGAGATGTCTGGAGATCTTGAATCTGGCATGCTGGCAGTAGGTGAGTGGATCTCCAAAGTATGAAGAGAATTGTGTTTTGACTCTGGTTTGAATCATGCCCCCAAAAGATACCTGCACCACCCCCTTCCTATCTTGGGAACTCCCTCCTTAAAATAGACGCCAAGTTAACCTGCGTGTCTAAAGCTCTTCCAGTTTTCACCGCTACCCTTTGGCCCTCTGTAGAACACACTGACGATTAACAATCCCTTAATTGGGTTCCAAGTAGTGTTTTGCTCTTACAAATTCCCTTTCTAACAAATATTATACTGCCAAGATCGAAATGTTGCCTGTCTTATAAGAAGCACTGAAACAAACACAAACAACAAGGGAGTCTAGTGACACCTAAAAGACTAGCAAGCTTTATTTGGCATTTTGTGGACTGTTGCCTGCTTCTTTAAATGTGAGAAAAACCTGAAATGCCTAGTTCTAGATATTTGAGTTCCAGAAATCACCATCAGAGTATCGGTACACAGAGCAGAAACTCATGGGGTCCATATGTGCATCTGCAACTGGATCTTCATTGCTTAATAATTTAAAAACTGGAAGATTAATATTGAAGATGTCCATGTGCTGGCTTATATTTTGATTTGCAGTTCCTAAATAAATAAAATAAAATAAATTATATTTTGATTTGCAGTTCTGTATTTGATACTTATTATTTTGTTTTGGAAGCTTTTGGCTTCACTGCCACTCTGTTTTAGTGTAAATTAGACACCTTGGCTCCACATAGCTTTCTCGTTTAACAGCCTAACTTAGCCATAGACCAAGAACTGCCAGCTGAGGTCTCATATTTGTCTTGAAGTCCTTGAGAAATTTTAGGGAAGTTACAAAATCTCTCCTCTGTAGCCTTTTGTTTGTAACACAGGAATACTAATCAGCCTCACTCAAGATAAATGAAAAAAAAGACAAATCTCTAACCTTTCAGATGTACAATGAAAATGCCCAGTGTGTTGTCTTTCAAAATAGCTTTTACCCCTTTTGTGTCTTGCTTGCCTAGTCTAACTAGAAATATGTGCTTCTTTTTTGTTTCGTTGAAGCTTTCAGGATTGTATGTATGGTAATACTATGCAGCGTTCTTGCAGTTTGTGTGCCTAAATTCATTGCCTTGCAGTATTTGGTCTTGAATTGATTCATCTCTCTCGATTCATGTACACAAGATGTCCAAACTCTGCTGTTTGATGTGTATTAGGTTACAGTGAACATTTGCATTCATTTTTTCCACTTCCATGGAATGGCCAAACAAAACAGTATCTGTTTGGATTGCATGACTGTGTGCTTACCATCTTTCTTTGTTGCACTTACTTCAAATATGATATGGAAGGGTTGGGGGGCGGATATTCGGTTTCATTCATTTGCCCATCTCATTTTTTAAGATATTTGTTTAGATAAAGCAGACCTAAACAAATGGTGGTATGGTTTTGATTTTGTAATTGGCAACTTGTTTGAAAATTAGATTGTGTAGTTTCTCTCTTTGGTTAAATAATTGTTGGTATATGTATAGCAGAGCCATCATTCCCCATCTTGCGTGGAGTCCCTCAATCTTTCCAAACCTAATGCTGGATACGCTGCCTGGGGATGAAGAGAGATACAGTTCAGCTTCCAGGATTGCTAGTGCTAGGGTTATAACAGTAGAGGATTTTGAATACTGTGCTATTTAAATGCAAAGTATAATCATTTAAGATGGGACGTGGTGGCGATGCGGGCTAAACCGCAGAAGCCTGTGCTGCAGGGTCAGAAGACCAAGCAGTCGTAAGATGGAATCCACGCGACAGAGTGAGCGCCCGTCACTTGTCCCAGCTCCCGCCAACCTAGCGGTTCGAAAGCATGCAAATGCAAGTAGATAAATAGGGACCACCTCGGTGGGAAGGTAACAGTGTTCCGTGTCTAAGTCGCACTGGCCATGTGACCACGGAAGATTGTCTTCGGACAAAACGCTGGCTCTATGGCTTGGAAACGGGGATGAGCACCGCCCCCTAGAGTCGAACACGACTGGACAAAAATTGTCAAGGGGAACCTTTACCTTTACTTTTTTATAATCATTTAGGAGAACTAGTATGCTGTGGTAGATTGAGTGGCAGACTAGGACTAAGGAGACCTGAGTTCAGATCCTCTCTTGCCCATGGAAATTCTCTGGGGGTGTGGAACTAGTAAAACCACCCCTTAAATATTTCACTTACCTTCAAAACTATGTTAGAGTCTCCATAGGTCAGATGTCGTTTGAATAGCATATTACTTACACATTATGGTTTGAAATCCCATCTCCTCTGAAGCTGCTACATTATCTACAAGCAGGTTTAGTGGATGCCAATAACCACTTGTCTCAATTTCATTTGCAGTTAAGTGTATAAAAAGCACACCTGCTTTCTTTGCGGAGAGGCTGTACAAGGCCATGAAGGTAAGAAATTTGAAATCCCACAGATTTCTGTGCATGAATGGAGCCAGCTACCCAAGTAGATTGACACTTTACCAGAGTTCAGGACCAACTGATGTTGGTTGGGTTGTATGCTTAGGTGCAAACTATGTACTACAAGTCTCTTTAACAGTTGCTACATGGCCTTCTTTGGCCTGGAAAAGCCATTTCTATAGGTAGTGTCTGGAGGAAGAGAAGCCACATGGGATATCTGGAGAATTGTTTGCTATTCTCCCATACAGAGCTCGCTCTCTCTCTCTCTCTCTCTCTCTCTCTCTCTCTCTTTCTCTCGCTCTCGCTCTCGCTCTCGCTCTGTCTTGATATGTGGAGTTACAGGCCCCATCACCTTTGTGCCTGTGCTAGCTGGGGATTTTGAGAGTTGTGATCCAACACATTTGGGGAGCACTGGGAAGAGAAGCCACATGGGATATCTGGAGATTTTTTGCCAGTCTCCCATACAGAGCTAGCTCTCTCTCTCTCGATCATAGAGTGTCAGTTTAAAGCCTTGGCTTTTGGGACAGTGAACACTATATATTGTAAAGTCTGGATTGTCTTCTGACACAAATTCATACTCAGTTTGTCTTTGTGTGTGTCTCAGGGAGCAGGGACCAAAGATCGTACTCTTATTCGGATCATGGTGTCACGCAGTGAGGTTGATCTGTTGGACATACGTCAAGAATACAAGAGAATGTATGGCAAATCTCTCTACACAGACATCACGGTAAGGTCCTGTGGGGTGCATTTCATCCCCTTGTCCATGTGTGTGTACTTAGCATGACAGTCTCTGAGCTGGTTAACTAGAATTGCAGCCTGTAATCATCATTGCTGGTTAGTTGGTTAGTTTATTATGCTCGTATAACCCTTCAAATACACATCATCCAATTTGCACACAGAAATTTTTTAAAAAGAGAGAAAAGTTATCAAGCATCTTCCAATAAGTAGGTCCTTCTTCACATTACACCAAGGGAAAAAGGTTTGCCAAACTGAGCAGTAACATAAGGGTTCCTCTCTGACAAACAATACATAACCAACTACTCATCAGGATAGCCTGGAATATTTTTGCAAGAGGAGATGAATTAAATCATTTTCTATTTGTTCCTAGAACTCCTAATAGAGAAGGACACGGGACAAAAATTCAGGCGCACCAGCCATGCATGGACAATATGTCTACTGCTGGGGAATTCCCAAAAATCTACCCAGGAATAATGCTGAGGGCAAATCATTAAATCTAGGAAAAAATACTTTGTGAGTCTGGGGTGATCTCAGAGTTGTTAAATAAGCTGCAGATGATCCATATAATGGTATAACACATCATTTGCAACAGAGAGCAGGTTCTGTTCGCTGCAGAAAACAGTTCCTGTCCATCAGTATCATATAGTCTCTGGGACAGTATTCTAAACGCTTGTTGTCCAAGCATTAGAATGGAGAGATGTAGAATGCCAATGGATCTAATTTTATGCTGGACCAAAAGCAACCATTCATTAGTATAGGAACCCATTAGGATAAAGTGCACATAACCAGGATGCTCGCCTAAAAATGGAGGTGCAGCCAGAATTTTGTAGTCTAGATCACTGGTTCTTAACCTTGGGTTACTCAGGAGTTTTGGACTGCAACTCCCAGAAGCCTTCACCACCATCTGTGCTGGCTGGGGTTTCTGGGAGTTGCAGTTCAAAAACATCCAAGTAACAAAGGTTAAGAACCACTGGTCTACATCTATGCTCTACTTTCCAATTGGCCTGCTCCAGATTCAAGATGTATGGCTGCATATTCTACACAGTTAACACGTAAAATACAATGTAGAAACTGGCTTATATTTTCTCTACTGCAAGATTTTATACACTGATGCAGATGAGAATACCACAGAGTAGCTGGGCCATAGGATTTGCTTTAAATAAACAAATGGCAGAAGGGACATGGTGATCAAGTATGATGTAAGAAAAGTGAGCAACAGCCGACATACTATACAGTAGTTAGCCAGATTAAGTGCATATTTATAATGGGCACTCCAGCTAGAATTGTACTTGAAGTTTAACCACAGATATCTGAACTCTTTAACTTGTTCCGGAACATTATTCCAAATTGTCCAGTGGAAATTCTTTCAAAGCTTGGGAAAAAAAACTATAGTTTCTGATTTTGCAAAATTGATAGACAACAACTTGGCATCACAGTAAGCTGTGAAAGCTACCACTAGGGTTTCTGATTTTGCAAAATTGATAGACAACTTAGCATCACAGTAAGCTGAAAGCCACCACTAGATGCTTTAGGCCTAGCTGGGTTAATGATAAAGCTACAGCATCATCAGCTATAATCCCTGTTACACATTCCTGATTTAGAAAATGTGACTACTCTAGAAGATGTTTTGGACTAGCAAGAGAACGAGAGCTACTGCCTCTCCCAGATATGGAGTCCTTTGTCTGTATGGCAGTGGTAGGGTGTGGTGGGCAGGGCTGTTGGTTTGGGGTAAGTGTATCCATTGGAGATGAGCAGTGGCTGTCCTCCTACCATCAGTTGTCAATCAAAAGGCAGACAAACAGGAAGAGTTAGCTGTCAGCAAGAGGTATGTGGCATCCAGTGGCTGTGCTCCAGTCCTCCTCCTCAGATGATGCTTCCACTATGGAGTTTTGGTGTAGAATCATGTCTTTGTATTCTTGAGAAACTTAAGCCCTTTTCAAGCATTTGGAAGCATGTAAAAAATGGACAAGGGGACATTCATTAGCCCTGCCCCTTCATCTGTTCCCTACGTGCAAGGCCCTGGGGAAGTCGTCCTGGTTCCAGCTCATGTGGAGAGTCCTCATGCGCAACACGGACTCCTCCCATTCAGATGTGCTGCCTTGCGAGGACAGAGGGCGGTGGGGCTAAAGCAGTCCCTCTCTTGCGGTTACTTAGTTCAGAATGCCTGAATCAGGCTCCAGCTTCACTATGTGTTTGTGTCTTTTAAAAGATATTCTAGTACTCCTGAGAAAATAGCGCAATTAGACAAAAGATGTTTTTGTATAGGAGAGGGGGAAAATACCATGGAACTAGGCCTTTCAAGAATCCAAATGATTCTGCTTAGAATTGCTGGTGGATTTGCATATAGATGACGCAGGCCTGCGGAAGTCTTCTCTGTTAGGCCATTAGTTCTGGACTCTCCAAGGATTCCCTTCAGGGCTTCCAGTCACATTCTCTAAAACCTGCCACACAAAAGCATCTAGGCCACCATGGAGTTCTTTGCGCGCTTTGCTTCCGACGGGGCTCCCTGGAGAAGTCCATTTTGTTGGCATCTGTCATATTGGTTTCTCACATTCACCTCTAACACAACTTCATTTTTCTGTAGGGTTTTTTTTTCCACTTCTGGTTTTGTTTAATTATTATTTTATTTCCAGGGTGACACTTCAGGAGACTACCGGAAAATCTTGCTCAAACTCTGTGGTGGAAACGACTAGGAGAAGCCAACTAAGGGTTTGGGGGTTGTTCTTATTTTTTTAAAAATAATGCTAGCTGGCATTATGTTATCATTTCACACGCTGTCAAATCTGTTCCAATACCGTGTCATGTTTGGTGAAAATTTCTTATCTTCTTTCCTTTTTTTAGTTGTGCACAAATGCAGAAAAAGTTGCAATGATAAATGGCTGCTGCACTGGGTAGTTATAGATCATGAATAGTATTTTTTTCCCATTATGGGGGAAAAATCTATATGAAAAATATGTTGTATGAATAGCTTTTTGTTTTGAAAAAATCCTGTTTTGTGTGCAAGATGATGCTTTATCTTTCTGTTCGTGTGATGCATGACAGGTTTTATATTAGCATATTTCTTGTAGTCTGAGTTGCAGGTGCCTTTTCTGAAAAGCAGGTCCTACTTATGCACTACTGAGGGTCTCACTACCAAGGATAAGCCTAAATCTGGCTCTTAAGTTGCCTTATAACATAGGGAAACAATAACAAATGAATTGTGAATACAATGTGCATTTCAATATGAGAGGTACCTGATCTTGGAATTCATCCATTTTAAACAACAAGGGAAATTGCAGACTACATGTTACACAGTGGTGCCTCGCAAGACGAATTTAATTCGTTCCGCGGTTAATGTTGTCTTGTGAAAACTTTGTCTTTTGAAACGCGTTTTCCCATAGGAATGCATTGAAATTAATTAATGGGCAAAAAAAAGTCAGAACAAAGTCAAATTTGGTTTACAAAGGGTTTATTAAGTGCTCATTAAAGCCATACATATTGTGCAAATGATTTCAAAAATTTCAATCAAAAATAGAAAAACATTTAAAAATCTGTAAACATGAGACAGGAAGAAAAAAAATGGAAAACATTCGTCTCTGCGAAGCACGGCCATAGGAACATTCGTCTTGTGAGTCATCAACCCCCATTGCCAAAACTATTTGTCTTGCAAGTTTTTTTGTCCTGCGAGGCATTCGTCTTGAGAGGCACCACTGTACTAAATACTTCATGAGGAAGTGGATCATCTTTGTTTTTGGGGTTGAGGCCTTTTTTTTCTTGATCTAAAAGCATGATAACATATTATTTTCATAGGAACCATGATGGGGGGAAGGGTTAAACCTTTTTTCCTTGCTTACTGTGATTTCATTGAAAGTTGGCTTCAAACTGGCAACTACTAATAATCCCCCCCAAATTGATTGACTTCATGGTGGCACTATTGGCATTGTATCTTGTTTGATTCTAGTAGAAAATCCACAATTAAATAATTCATTACTTTGTGGGCAGAAGAGGGTTTGAGCTTTTTCTCTGGAACTCAGTGCATGAACCAAAGGCTCGATTTGCATTGTTAGAATAGAGCAAAGCACCTTGATCTGGATTTGCACAGAAGCGAATGGGAATTCCATATTTATCATTGGCTAGATTGTACCCTTCCCTTGCAGAAATATGCACAAAAATGTCCCCATTTAGTCTAATGTTAACATATGTTTAAAGTGTCCCATTCAAGTCCTTGTTTCCTAAATGGGCTCAGCTTTTGAGTAGATACTGCCAAAGGTCTTGAAGAGACTTGGAATGCCATCCACTGGAGTGCATTGCAAAGCTTGCTTTTTCAGTGGTTACTGAACTGTGCCTTTTAAAATCAGATATATGTAACTTTTTTTAAAAGCAGATTTTTACAAATAAATGTATTGGTCTTCTAAGTTTTCTGGAGTAGCTTTTTTGTTGGTTTGTGCTACATACATAATTGAAGTAGTAAATGTAAATTCTATTCATACAGCAAAAAAACAAAAAGCAGATTGTTACAGCTGATCATTCAAGGTAAAAAGAAATGGCAAAGAAATGCAGGAAATGCTTTGTGAGCAGATGTTGCTGTGGGTTCTCACTCGAACAATAGTAATAGGACACATGTGAACACATACACAAATCATTCCATTGTGGCTACCCATAGTTTTGGTAATGTTTTTTTTCTTCCCAAACTATTGCTTCAGAAGAAAGTCAAAGTGCCAGAATAATATATTAGAAACAAGGGATCTATCTCTGTGTTATGTTTTCCACTGATCAGCTCTTCTGGAAGCTTTAAGACCAGTGCCCCCCCCTTTTTTGCGAGTGAAATGTGGAGCCTTAGGAAATGCCATTCTAGCAATCTGTTCAGGGGTTCTCCCAGTTCTCCTGTCCTCTGGCATGGCTCTGAGTTTTAATTGGGGAGGATTCCCACATATGAACTCTGCTACAACAGATTAATAGTCCACTTAGCCAAGCTTTCCAGCAGTGGCCAGCTAGATACCAACGGCAAGTTGACAAAAAGGAGTGAAGGCAGGGGCAAACCAGACTTTTAGGTCTGGTCGTATGCTATAGCCAGGTTGACAGGCCTTCTATCACCTACTCTCCAGGAATACCACAAACATTAGTTGCTGATGCTACTTGTGCTGCAAGCTTCATAGCTTGAATTTTGCCAGCCTGTTAATACATTCTGTTCCTCATTTCTAGATCATACTGGTTTTCTATAGTATATTATAACTCATGAGGTTCTGTGCACAAATGTTGTTGCTCATTCAGAAACTGCACATGCAGCATTAGGAAGACTCACGGGACTCCTGAGCAGACATTAGAATAGCATTTTCTCATGTTCTGGAGGGACTTGGGACTCACATCCACACTGCAATGTTTTTTTCAGACACAAGGCATTTTTATCAGTATCATAAGGGAGATGGGGAATGAGCATCCCTAACCATTGTGCTGTGCAAAGCTTGGAAAGACACATAACAACATGTTGAAGCCATCCATAATCAAGCATTAGTAGGATGATGCTCTGGGACCCCAATATCATCCTCATTCACATACGGCTTCTACTAGTCATTAGATTCATTTTTCTTGAAAGAATGCATCATCCTACGCCTGCTTATTTACACACCATTTCTTTATTTGTCTTAAAACCAACTCTTTGGGCTGTAGTTTTAGAGTTGGTGTACAAAACTGCCTGTGTTTATAAAGTTTTCCATGATTAAGAAGCTGAAGAATTATTTTCATTATGTAAATAGAACAAGGTTTCACTGTTCAGTATTTTAAGTTTACCTATTTTAGTGGAAGAATATTTTAATTCTTCCCTCTGAGCTGCTTTTCTCACAAAGGCTGGGTTTGTTGACTGGCCAATTCGCCTTTGGCAAATATTGCTTAGTACTCACAAAGCCAAGACTACTCTTCTGTGCCTTGCAGCGTCCCTCTTCTTATTCCTTCATGGATTCACATGCTCTGGAACCTAGCACTCATCCCCCAGCCCTGCAGGCATGGAGTGTACACGTACCTTAGTCAGGAGTAAACAGAACTTGACCAGCAACTCCAGAAAGCTGTTGTCCTTTCTCAGTTAGAACAGAAGAAAACAGCTATGCTGGATCAGACCACAATATCTCAAATACAACATTGTGATTCCACACTAGCCAACCAGAATCCTTAAGGCAGGACATTTCACACAATGACAGAATTGTGAGTCACGTTGCCTAGCATTAGGGTAGGATTCAAGAGGAGAAACACCCATGGGCCATCATTACACTGGCAGAGGTCACAATGGCCTGGTGGATAAGACTAACACCACATCTACTATGCCTCCATATGATCTAGATACCTGTTTGTAGAGCTGCTAGGAAGAAGTTGGATCTTCTAGAAGACAACAGGAGCATTCCTTTTTATAACTAGTATGATTGTGCCTGTCCTTTCTGAATCCTGGCCAGCAGAGGTGTCAAAGGCTTCTGGGAGTTGTAGTTCAATAACATCTGGAGGCCCAACGTTGAGGACCACTGTTCTAGACGACAACAGGAGCATTCCTTTTTATAACTGGCATGATTGCACCTGTCCTTTCTTTTTCTTCCAGTGCTTAGTTTAAAGAACTAATGTATCTGATCAATACTTGGCCAAGGACATGGTAATCAGTCCATTGTTTGACTGATCAAATTTCAACCTTGCTAGCTGGACTTGAACCAGGAGTATTTTTGTCCAAATTGAGCAGGTCTCATGCACCAGGCAAAGAAGGACTTCATGTGGTCGTTTCTGTAGGTTCCTTCCTCTTTTTCATTGCTTCATTACAAGGCTGCTGAGATAGTTATTTTAACTTGTGGTGAAATGATATATGAGCATGTTTAAAATTTCATTAAAGCCATCTAATTCAATGAATTACATTTCTTCAGGTGCTCTTTTTTATTTTGACTCTTTTTGTATTGGTCATTAATGAACTTCATTCAACAACATAGAAGAATTTGTTACAAAACATTATTCATCTGATGACTAAATATACAGTTTAATTTAAAATACCACAAAGATCCAAATGTGGGTGAAATACACAGCGTAATAATTTTATTGTTGTGTTTCTTCTCATCTTCTTGAAGCTCGGCTGGTATCTAGAAAGACAGAGAAAGGTAAGTTGTGGTTACAGGCCACTAAACCATTGATCCTAGAGAAGAATACTGATCATTGACAGAGTGGCTAAACCATTGCATTTCAGCATTGCCTTTCCATTAGCAGAAGAGAGGAGAGATGATACAGTATTCACATAGAGCAGGGCATAAGGGTGGGAGTTACAAGAAAATCACTACTCCCTCCCCAATAGGGCAGATTACTCCCATACCAAAACTTGTTTCATGAACTAGAGCAATGTTAGATGGTAGGCAATGTGCACAGAACAGATATATCATTGTTGTTAGAATGAGGGATGAATGCCTTGAAAGGTCAGGATATAACCAACCAGAAATTTCATTTACAGTAGGACCACCATACTCATGTGATCATTATCTACAGTTTAACCTGCTGGCTGAAAATATTAAATAAAAAACCTCAGAAATATGCATTTCCAAGATGTATTACTGGCCACTAGAGGGAACCAGAGACTATATACGTAGGGTTTGCTATTATCCACTATGTACTTCCAGCATCCATGGTAGGTCCAGGAATGTACCCTCCATGGATACAGTGGTCCTACTGTATATTGTTCTCTACCAAATACAGAATATTCGACTGAACATGCCTCTTGCATGTCCAAATGGAGTGTGAGAGAAGAGCTTCTGCCAGAGTTTTGGCCTAACTATTGAAGCTTCCCAAATGGAGCTCACGCAGATGCAGAACACACATATGGGACTGAACAGAAACGACAATACAGGAAGATGAGGTTTAGTGCCATGTTTAAGGTACAATCACATTTGATGTTGAAAATATTGAAGGTAAAATCACTTGTAGATTAAAATTAGTGATGGGAATTTTTGGCTCTCCACAGGTTTTCTCTTATAATTAACATCAACCCTACCCAGTGAGAAGTTAGCAGTAGTAATACAAAATCCAGAAGTTCCACCCAGACATAGCTAGTAATATGCATAAGACTAATACCTTCAAAAATATCCATCAGGGGAGTTCCAGGAGTAAGAGGGACACTCCATGCTGTTTCACTGACAGTTTTGAGCAATGACTTGACTTCAGAGTCCAGATGGTCAACTGTTTTTTCTACTTGCTAACAAAGGGAGAGAGAAATTTGAGGGCAGTGTTGCAGTTATTCATATCCATAAGCTTGTCTTCTGAATCATAAATCTTACTAAAAGCCATCTCTGTGTTATAGAAGGCCTGGTGATTAACCCTCAAATTATCCACCATTCCTCTGAATGAGAAAATATTTTGTATACTCAACTGAGCCACTGAGCTAGCTGCCTGTGTTAGAAAACCTTAATCCACACCTAACATCGATTTCTTACTAAAAACAGGCTTGTGGATATTCCTTCATAGAATGAAACCTCTGATGCTGAAAAGTAGCATGTCAAGGAAAGGAGATGATAGCCTAACTTTCCCTGTGACGTGCCAGCTTTCTGAGTGTATGAATGGGGATTTCCTCCACAGTGGGAACCTTCATTTGCCGTCTGAAGCAACTCAATGCAGAAACAGGCTTATTTCCACCAGCGCCTCTTGGGCTGGTGGACAGTTAATCATAGTTGAAAAGGAGAGATGGTAGCCATTTCCCAGCGTTTTCCAGTACACTATGCTTTGGTGATCACCAGAACTAAGTGGGGGGGGGGGTCTGTGCTATTCTTTGCTCTTTCTTGCAAATTCATCACCAGGGGCGGGACATTCATGTAAATAAACACAAAAGAGGCTCTCTCTTTTTTCCTTTTTTTGTGTGTGTGTATTCTTTCGTCAATTTCAAAAACAAAACAAAACAAAACAAAACAAAACAGCCTGTTAAACATGAATTTAAAAGAAAGAGGGATACACAAAACTTCCCTGTTTCCCTCTCTTTCTTTCACCTTTCTCCATCCAAATGCCCGGGAAATCACCTGGGAATTTTTTTTTTAATCAAATAGCATGGCAAGGGCAAGGGTACACAAAAGACATGAAAAAGACGCTTGTGGGGTCTTTTAGGGCATCATCCCCTAAAAGACCCCACAAGGAAAAAAGCTGGAGTCTCTTTGCTGAGCACATCCCTGTTCATCGCTGTCAAGGACTATGGAGGAGGCAGGTGACCGTCTACACCAGACAGAGGTGCAGGTAGGTACTGTAGTTATAGAGCCTAGAATTGATGGTCTTATATCAGGTCTTAAGACAGGCACATGCAGTACAACATTTCCTCTCTCCCCCTCCTTCAGCATTGCCATCCCATGCTTCACAACCACTACATTCTTGGTATGTGAGAGCAAAACAAAAAGGAATACTGTTTTTGACTTTGGCTGAAAAAAACTGAGCAAACGTGCAATTTTGCATTTAAAACCCTCTCCGGAGAAAGGTCTGGGCACTACCAGTAGTGCACCATCATACAGCAGACTGCTATCTGCTGTGCATTTCGGAGACCATATATGCTGCACTGTCGTCCAGTATCCTTTCAAGCTCAATTCAAGGCATTGGTTTTGAGCAACTTTCCTTCAGAGGCAGCCCCACTGCATGTCTCAAAATCCTGTGAGGTGAGAAAGGTAACAGTTTTCTCTGTAGCAGCATTTGAGTTGTGGAACCCTCTTGGAAGGGAAGTCAAGCAGACTCCATCTTGGTGCAGCTCTTGGTGGGCTGCCAAGATTGGATTATCTCACAAGCCCTTTGATCTTTTAAACGGGCTTAACAAAAAATAGATTTTTAATGAATTGTAAATCTCTTTTTAAATAGTGTTTTTATCTATTCCATTGCACATTCAGAGACTGGCAGGCAGGAAAAGGATGAACATTTAAATATCATAGTACAATGGTGACTGCAGGAATGTAAAATGGTGCTTGCGTTTTTGCTCTGCTAAACACACTCAGATACGTAGGTACAAGCACCGTTTTGTTGTAGAACGGGATAATATATTTTTCAAATGAAAATAATGTAATAATGAAGTAAAACCCTGGGAAAGGCATTGGTTTTGAGCAACTTTCCTTCAAAGGCAGCCCCACTGCATGTCCCAACATCCTGTGAGGTGAGAAGGGTAACAGTTTTCTCTGTAGCAGCATTTGGGCTGTGGAACCCCCTTGGAGGGGATGTCAAGCAGACTCCATCTTGGTGTAGCTCTTGGTGGCCTGCCAAGATTGGATTATCTCACAAGCCCTTTTATCTTTTAAACGGGCTTAACAAAAAATAGATTTTTAATAAATTGTAAATCTCTTTTTAAATAGTGTTTTTATCTATTCCACTGCACATTCAGAGGCTGGCAGGCAGGAAAAGGATGAACATTTAAATATCGTAGTACAATGTTGACTGCAGGAATGTAAAATGGTGCTTGCTTTTTTGCTCTGCTAAACACACTCAGATACGTAGGTACAAGCACCATTTTGTTGTAGAACGGGATAATATATTTTTCAAATGAAAATAATGTAATAATGAAGTAAAACCCTGGGAGGCTCACCCTAAGTTGGAATCAACTTGATGGCACATCATTAAAATTATATTTAGTTACAATTTGAACAAGGAAATAAAGTCATTTTCCTACAAACTTTGCAGTAGGATTCCTAGTTTTGTACTTCCATCTAGTGGACAGAAAATTGAATGCAGACTTCCAAAGAATAGCAAGGAGAGACAAGGGGACCTCCTTAAATGAACA